TCTGTAAGAGCAATCTTGAATCAAGGTCCAGCAGGCAAGTGAATGGACAATGGAGGCTCCATTAATAAATTTGAAACTGAATGGTAGTGGAAACATTTAAAAATAATGTATTTTACAGCCTGGGAAGCCTAGACATGAGTGAAGTACTTACAGCTCAGCAAATGGGTATCATGAGGCATGGCCACAGTAAGAGAAATCAAAGGCCAATGGAGCAATTTAAAACAAACATAAACAACTGGCAATGTAGCAAAGCCAGATTTAAAGCAATAAAAGAGGCATTTTAAAAGGCTTAGCAGAGAGAGTTTAATGGAAGATAAAAGTTAGGAAACTACTGAGGCATATAAGGAAGCAACAACAAGTTTTGAATCATCCATTTTATCATAAAAGGAATGATTCCTCCATTTTACTCACAAAAGGTAGAATTCTTCAATTTTGATTACAAAAGAACAGAACTACCCAATAACAATATCACTATATTCCAAAATTAAAAGCCCTTTAAAGCAAGGGAAACACACAGCAGAAATAATATACCTGGGAAGATTTAATTTCAGAGTTGGGCCAAATTGAACATAGACTTTGACATCTGTTTTGGAGAAAATAATTCTTAAGGTACAGAAATGCTTCTGAAGTAGTGAATGAAGCTGAAGCTAAAAACTAAATGCATCTTTTTGCATTTAAATACACAGGCTTATACATTTGGGAATATAGCTAACATTGTTATGGCTTTCCAAGGTATAAGGAATTAACAGATACATTTGATGAAGTTTATTTGACAATTACTTTAGCTCTTTAACTCTTCTACTCCGACAAAATAAAATTGAAAGAGCAAGATTTAGTTGAAGAGTTCACCATCCAGAGGATTCCAAGAGTAACTTCATTAATGATGTCTCCAGATTTAGGGAAGGCGATGACCTAGTGGTATTATCGCTGGATGTTAATCCAGAGACCCAGATAATGCTCTGGGAACCTGGGTTTGAATCCAGCCATGGCAGACGGTGGAATTTGAATTCAATAAATATCTGGAATTTAGAGCCTAATGATGACGATGAATCCATTGTCAATTGTTGGGAAAAACCAATCTGGTTCACTAATGTCTTTTAGGGAAGGCAACTGCCATCCTTACCTGGTCTGGCCTACATGTGACTCCAGACCCACAGCAATGTGGTTGACTCTTAACTGCCCTTTTGGCAATTAGGGATGGGCAACAAATGCTGCCTGGCCAGCGATGCCCTCATCCTGTGAATGAATAAAGAAAAAATAAATTAGTGAGAACCGTGTGACTGTCGCAATTAACATCAGAATTCATAAAAAATATTGGAATGTTGTGATTTCTGATGAGTAATTTTCAGGTTTATTACAGTCAAAAGAAGATTTGATCCTATGGAGAAAGTCATTTAGATGGTAAGTGTAGCAGAAGTGTAGCACAAATTATTCATAAGAGAAGATTGATTTTGTCACATAAGATCAACAGCATCCATTCAGTTTTCGAGGTACGATATACCTCCAGACACTTGAGAAGCCAATGCAGTGAGTAGGACAGACACCAGATGCAGACAATCATTATCAACATGTGGAGAAACCTCAAAGGAAGAAACAGTTCCCAGATATTTTAAAACAAATCTGTAAAATAATGGGTCAATTTCAGAAAAAAAGTGTTGAGATGGGACATAGTCACAGAACAACAAAAAGTCAAATAGAAGTTTATGAAGTGGAACAAGCTATGATAGAAGAAAATCCAAAGGTATTCCTGGATGAACTAAATAATCCAGACCTAGTTTTTGTCAGGAGAATATTTCTCATCATTGGACACCTTACTAATTTCAAGTTTGAAACAGAGGAATGCGTTATTATATTGCCAGACAGTGTACCATGTTTGAAGAAACACTGTTTACAGTTTATATTAGTACTACCACATGATCCAGGAGGTATAGCACTTAATTTTAAAGATACTTTGCAAACAAATCTGCAACACAAGGATGTTTGATAACAGAGAAGTTGTACATACTTTATGATCAAGAATTGTCTTTCTTGAGCCTGAATGCGTGTTTTGACCTGAATCTTCTTCACATAGCAGGAGTCAAATTAGTTGAAGTCAAAAAACTGCTGGTCAAGGAACAGCCAGTCATGCAACATTTTTCAAAAAATACCCAAAGAACAATAAGTCAAAGAAGTTCAGTTGCTGTGGAACAATTAATAAAAGATTTCATAGGGCTTCCTAGGCTCACAGCGGAATCCAAAAAAAAAACAAAATCCGTCAAGGTTAGTTATATTGGTCCATAAAATTTGTCTCATACTGTCAGCAAGTTGGGAGCCTGGATTGGCAGAACTGTTTCCTATTGCTGAAGAGAATTTAGATTTCATGAATTAACAAGAAAACACAATCAATCAGCAAGCCAGTGAACAGCATACCCCAGATAAATAAACTGACAGATCTTTGAACTGTTGTAACACAAAATACAATACCTCTCTATGACTGAACAGTTATGACAGATTTAAGTCTGATTTGGAAAATTCAAGCTCAGATTTTATTGCCTTATTTTCCCAGAAGGGATCCTCAATATCAGTGACACAGACTATGCCAAGCAAGCAGTAACCCTCAAATAGTATGAGAAAGCAAGTGTTATGTTTCTAGCAAGGCAATAATCTTTGAGATTAAATGAAAGCATCCAAATTAAGCAAAAGTTTGAAGAGTCTACACACTACAGATTCATCAATAGATTGAGAAATCTGCTGTGGAAATAGATTCAAGGTATGAACCCCATTGAACTTAGAGTGAGTAACTAATATTCACAGATTCCAGACACAATCAAGAGGAAATTGCATGGTTTGGAGATCCAGGATACAGTTTGTAAGAAAAAAAGAATACCTGGTCCAAAATCCAGGACACTGTAAGAATGGAAGTGCCTGTTTCAACAGGGCAGCCATCTTTCTTGTGATCCCTACAGTGTGGAAAGAGGCCATACAGCCCATCAAATCCACACTGACTCTTGGAAGAGCATCCCATCCAGACCCACCCCTACACTATCCCTGTAACCCTGCATTTCCCATGGCTAACCCACCTAGCCTAGCCTGCACATTCCTGGACACTATGGGCAATTTAGCATGGCCAATCCACATAACCTTTACATATTTGGACTTGTAGGAAGAAACCAGAGCACCCAGAAAAACCTATGCAGAGACAAGGAGAATTTTACATGAAGGAAGTTCATGACTAACTGTCCTCTAGATATTACAATGGAGCAATTGCCAGTTTCAGCAGGATACACATCCCTAGCCACAGAAATCCAATAGATAAAAAGTCTTCCAGTTTAGAGGGACTCTCCAACCTCATCCTGTCAGGAGTGAAATCAAAATCAATAGTCTTCAACCCAGTTTCTGTCCTGTGAACTGTAGAGTCTTCTTTGATAAATGCATACTAAACTGAGAGCTTAGACTTTCTCAGCTTCTAATTACCTACAGTTTTTTAACCAAACACCCCTGGTCTGCAAGTTACATTAACTAAACTTGTCTACTGAGATAACTTATTCCCATAACTGCTCTGAGAAAACTTCTTTCGAGGAAAGGGACTATTCTTGCTACTGAACTTTGTCAGGCCCCCATGAACTTTACAAAAAATCCAATCTTTGGTTTCCTAAGCTAAAACTGATGCTTGATTATTCTGAATCAAAAACAAGCTATGGCCTTCGAAGTTTACTCCTGTTGTAAGTCACCCAATATAAACAATTTCCATTAACGCTCCAGGGGTTCCCTGCTCTCTCTCACAAACTGGACAAGTTCTGGAAGATCTTTCTGACTCCTTTTTTTTAAATCAGAATATCCTTCACCAAAGTAACCAACACCCAAATGTCACTATTTTGGAATCTAATTTCTAAAAGTTAAACATATATAAAAATATAAATCACAAACTTTTCATCGTAAAATACAGTAAAATTGTGATAAGTCAAATTACAGGGCCTTGCCCTCAAACCTATGATAGGCAGAGATTCAGGTTAGCTGAGGAAGCTCTATGCAACCCTATTTTATTTACAAATATGCTCGAAGTAAAAAAAAAGACAATGATGCAATAAATATGTGAAAAGAATTTTTTTTCACTTTGTTCATACATTGCAATGGACTGACTTTGTACAGTCAAAGGCATTATAAAATATTGGGACTTAGCTCTGGACATACCCATTAATATTTGTCTGCTTAGCTTGCTGCAAAAGTGTTATTGTGGTTTCTGCTTTTGTGCTGCAGAGTAATATCTCAGAGCATTACTATAGCCTATGAGGCCTCAGCGAAGGAAGCAGGTGGGCTTGGACAGGCATTCATTCGGCACTTCAGGCTCACCGGCCTCCGCAGCCATACTTGCAGGCTTTCACTGAGCGATCTTCAAGCTGATTGTTGTTTTCCCATAATTTTGTGTGGCCTACCTCTGCTCCAATTGGATGTCATGGGCGCACAAGCTGGCATGTGTTTAAGGAATGCAGAGTTACCAGTCCAGAACTTCAGCTTATTACAGACATTCTTGTGTTGGATTTCCTATTTTGTTGGCAGGAAGGGCTGACAATTTCAAAACAACAGGGATTTTGACTCATCACGATTTTGTAGGGGAGAAAGTGCAACTGGCTAACGCAAGGCAGACCACAATCACAGTCCACAAGGGAATTTGTCTTGAAAAAGAATGAGAGATGTTTTTATATAGAAAAGTGAGAAGAGACCAGGCCAGATAAAGGACTGGATGTTTCTTACGGGACCTGGAGAAAGCTGATAGTTGGTTTGTATGATAATTGTGCTTAAACATTTACCTTTTATCATATGCCTGATTGAGATCTCTCAGAATTTTGAGTGTAACTGATTCACAACTCACTAAGCAATTTTACAATACATACATAAACTGGTAGCCAAGATTTGGTTCTAAATAAATGCAAATGCTGTTGAAAATTGTTAGACTTCTTCATGCCATGTTAATTTATTGTCTCATTTTCCTGTACTTTGTGCAGGTATGCATTGTCCAGAAGAGAGATACAAAGAAAATGTATGCTATGAAATACATGAACAAGCAAAAATGCATTGAGCGAGATGAAGTGCGCAATGTTTTCAGAGAACTGCAAATTATGCAGCGACTCGAGCACCCTTTCCTTGTGAATCTATGGTAAGGAACTTCTTGTGATAATTAAATAAGCTTGTAGAATGTGGAAATGGCAAAGCATGAACCTTTTCGTCATATCATAATACAGTACAAATGCATCTAAATGTTAATTATGTTTAGTTGTTTGAATGCAAAAGTATTTGCATATTATTGGCTTGTTATAAATCAATGACCTGAATGTGAGTAAAAGGAATATAATTTTAAAGTTTATAGGTGACACTAAGCTTGGTCACACAAAAATGAGCACACGATAGCTGCAGGCTGTAGCTGGGAACAAAGATAGACTGTGAAGTTGGCAGGCTCATGATTATTGCAAGGTGGATGAGTTTTCAAATCAATCCATGCCATCAACCCTTGCCTTTTTCTTTAATGTTTTGCAGTCTCGCCAACCTCTGAGTTATCTACGTTAATTTTGGCCTCTTGTGCATCCCCTTATTTTACGCACAACCATTAGCACCATGCCTTCATTTGCAAGTCCTTCCCTGTATTTCTCCAACACTCGACTTCTTTTCCTTCTTTAAAACATTCCTTAAAGCCTACCCTGTTTTTTGTCACCTGACCTGATGGGTAAATTCAATGCCCACCTCCACGGTCTTCCCATTCTACTTCCAACAGACACCTTAAAATGGGCAACTAATGCCCACTTAAGGGTGTTATCCTACTGGTAGTCAACCAGCAGCTTGCAGGGGTGGCACCACATGGGAAGCCTGAAAATGGGGCTCCCATGAGGGTGCCTCTTTATCAGTACATAGTACTTCTGAAACACCGCACCACCACACCGCCCCCCCCCCCCCCCCCCCCACCCCCCAACCCCCATCACCACCACCTCGCTGCTGACTACCCTTACACTGTCTCACCCATTGTAATTTCCATCCGTCTCATGTTTAGCCTGGGGTTCCTCAGCCTTTGCTAGGTGTATTATTGGCAGCTGCCAATGTTCACCCAGTGGTGCTGCCTGAAATGCACAGCAGACAGCCTCGGATTGGCTATACATACACACGCGCGCACACACACACACACACACACACAGAGGAGTTACAGACACACACTCCACCTAGACACACACACACACCCACCCACATGCACAGACACAGACACAGATGTGCACACACACACAGACACTCAGCCATCCACCCCTGGGTCCTTGATTCCTGAGAATGCCCATCACAATCCACTTAGATACCCACTTAATCTGTTGGGCATTCCCCAAAAGAGGTGATGGGAAGCTTTCCAACCAATAGGTGAGACTCCTGTCACCTGCATTCAATACCACCCTATTTCTCTTTGTATATTTCTGAGTCTTCTTTTGCTTGGTAAGTCCATCTCGGGATGTTGAATCCTGTTAAAGATGCTACTTAAGTGTAAACCTGTTGTAGAAGAATGAAGAAATGCACCTTGGGAGGAGCAGCATAGAGGCAGGACAGTTGAAAGAGTGATAGTATCAAATTTCATGGGCACACTCAAAGTAGAAAACTCATTTGCAAGTTCACAGGAAAAAGGTGAGGTGTAGGACTAAATCAGAGAGTTCATACAAGGAGCTGACACAAACATGATCATCTGAAAAGACCCCCTCATTTGCTTTACATGATTCTATATTGTATTCAATTGTTTCTTAATGCACATAGGCGTACTCATTGCAATATATAAACTACGGTTCATCGTCAACAAATGACAGTGTAAACTGTATGTTGTTTCACAAATGCTAAGCTCTATCAGGAATGTTGACAAATGTAACAGTAAAGAATTGGAAAAATATCATAATAATGGCAGCAGGTATTATAATCGGAGCAAATAAGACAACAGAAAGATGGGATGAGCAGAATGCTTAATGTTTTGTGTTGCACTTTTTGCACTTTCAAAGCAGCAGCACAATGAATAAAGTTACTTCTGCCATGTCTTGACCTCTCCACTGTAATATCCAGTGTTTATTGTCAAAACACTTCATTCAAACAATTTATTTTTCATACGTTTCATTTCCTTGGATCTGCCTGTAGCGGAAGCGTTGGGCAACATTCAATATTGAGGGTTAAAATGATAAATATAAGCCATTCAAACTTCAGTCTCTTGATTTGTCTCCACTTTTGGATCCTTTAGATTATTTGCAAGTCAGCGCCTGTAATGAAGTGGTATGTAGAAGGTGGAATGTATACACAGGGGTAGCATTTTCATGGGGGGGGAGGGTATACAATAGCTTTGTTCAACTTAGTCTGCCATCTGGCTTTGCAGATTGAAGCAAATTCAAGAGATGCTGCAAACAAGGTTGACAGTAAGTGGAGTGAATTATGAATTATGAAAATCTTTTAAAAAGTTATTTTTTTCTGAGTGTGTCTTTGTGGACCAGAGCATTAGTAAGTGATTGGGTTAGGGTTAGGACCAAAAAATCATTTGAAATGTGGAATTTGATTGTTGTGTAATTACACCTTTTTGTATAAAAGTTTTTCCTTCATCAAGTTATCTGTAGACTTTCTGTGCCTTTCTCTTCTTTTGCCTGTGGTAACTGAAGCTAATTTATTAACACAAGATTTTTTAAAATTAAACTAGTTGTGATCCAGTGTTCCATTCCTTGTACTGTCCTATTTGTGAGGGTCAATATTCACTAAATATATTCATATAAGAATAAATTCAAGTTAAAGATGAAGATAAGTCCAGGGTAATCACTGTAAATGCTGAATGTTTTCCTTAGAATGAATCCTGTCAATGAAAATCTGCCTGATAAATAATTATAGTTATAATTAAATGCTTCATCCAAGAACCAAATTGTACCATAGTGACATCTATTACCAGATGCTTTTTCTCATAGCTACAGCCAAGCTGCAGTTTCCATAAGCTGTCTGAATTCACTATGATCTCTGACTGATGTCTTAATTCTGTTTCTTCGGCATAAAGCCCAGGTCTATTCATCTTCACTCACAGTAAATCGCTTACCAGCAAACACTTGGAATGCTCATCATGTTCCACAGTTATATCAGAGAGCAGATAGGCCACACAGTTAGACCATTTGCATACAGACTAAACTAATTAGTTACAATTCTTTAGTGATGAGGTGATGCATCAAGCCAGTATGATTCGTGATGAAAGGGCAGGCAAGAAAAGACTTGGTTATCCGTTAGTTCTGTAAACATCATGGCTGGAGCTTTGTAACTGAACGTGGTACTGGTACAAACAATGCAGCGATTGCACAAGGGGCTTATGTGCCTTGACTAAGAAGGCATATTGCTGGATGGTGGCAACAATATTTGTCACAAGCAACAACTTTATACTTTGTTCATTTCTACCCATTCATCCACTCACCCACCCAGTGCTCATTCACTAATCCCATTGAAAGACTGTGACATTCAAAAACAAGCTTGAATATGGCCGATGATGCCAATGAAAGGGGCATGCCCTCTGCACTACTCCACTTTGCCAGCCTTCTCCCAGAGTGCTGCTCTGAGGCTTTGTTGTTTCCGCTTGGATTGACATTCCCATTTGGAAGGAGGCAAAAGGGGAACCAATAATCTCTGCAATCAGCAATAATGCATGCAGCATCAGTGCTAATTGGAAGATTTGGTCTGGTGTCTTCATACCCCACATCCATGCACCAGCATATAAATACATATACAGTTCGATTCCAATTAAATTAGTTCATTAAATGCTTTGTATTCAATTTATCTCCTTACTCCAACATTTTCTCATTAATTAAATCACTTCCCAAGCATATCATTCAAGCTTACAATCATTAATTCACCACAGTACTTGATTGACTTTCTGAAAATAATACATTACTGTTCATTCTGTTCCAGGCAGTAATAATGATTTTTAGATTTCACAGTTTATTATCTATATTTGCTTATTGCTTTTCTCCAACTACTTTCAAAATAAGCCTATTTAAAAAGAGTGTTGCTAAGCTTGGCAACAAATAGATGCTGTATTTGATTGTTTTACTCCCAAGCGTGGGGTCAAGTACAAATACCAACTTTTATGCAGGGCAGTACGTGGCTCAATGGTTAACACTGTTGCCACACAGCACCAGGAATCTAGGTTCGATTCCACCTTTGGGCAACAGTCTTTGTGGAGTTTGCACATTCTTCCCAAATCAGTATGAGTTTTGTCTTAATGTTTCAATTTCCTTCCATGTACCAAAGACATGCGGATTAGATGAATTGGCCATGCTAAATTGCCCATAGTGTCCAGGGATGTGTAGATTAGGTGGATTAGCCATGATTAAGATTACAGTGAGAGGGTGGGGGATTGGTCTGGCTGGGATGCTCTTTGAAGGATTGGTGTGGACCTGATGGGCCACATGATCTGCTTCCACATTGTAGGGATTCAATGATTCAGTTCTTGTGTTGCTGAATACAACCAGGAACATTTCATTTCTCAGCAACAGTGATGTGAGCTGACTTTTGGGCATTTTGGAACGGAGAGATATTTTGATTCATTTTAAAATGGATCTGACTTTTGCTTTAGTGCAGGCAAAAACAACAGCATCAATATAAAGAGACAACAAGGTGCAGGGCTGGATGAACACAGCAGGCCAAGCAGCATCATAGGAGCAGAGAGGCTGACGTTTCGGGCCTAGACCCTTCATCAGAAAAGGGGGAGGGGAAGGGGGTTCTGAAATAAATAGGGAGAGAGTGGGAGGCGGATAGAAGATGGATAGAGGAGAGGATAGGTGGAGAGGAAACAAACAGGTCGAAGAGGCGGGGATGGAGCCAGTAAAGGTGAGTGTAGGTAGGGAGTTAGGAAGGGGATAGGTCAGTCCAGGGAGGACGGACAGGTCAAGGGGGCGGGATGAGGTTGGTCGGTAGGAGATGGAGGTGCGGCTTGAGGTGGGAGGAGGGGATAGGTGGGAGGAAGAACAGGTTAGGGAGGCAGGGACGAGTTGGACTGGTTTTGGGATGCGGTGGGGGGAGGGGAGATTTTGAAACTTGTGAAATCCACATTGATACCATTGGGCTGCAGGGTTCCCAAGCGGAATATGAGTTGCTGTTCCTGCAACCTTCGGGTGGCATCGTTGTGGC